GCGCTGGTGCTGCCGCTGGGGGTACTGGTGCTGTCCCTGCTGTGTCTGGAGTCGCCGCGCGGCCTCGGCCGTACTTCGTTCCGCTCCTTCAGCAGGTTCTTGGTCTCCCGCCTTCTACTGGTCCTCCTCCTCCCTTAGAGTGTCCACAGCCTGTCCCGTCCCAGTTACAGTTACAGCCGGCCTCCACACTGCCCGCTCCTTCTCCCTACACTGGTCCTACTGGAGGTCTGGCTGAGCGTCGTGAGCCTGCGTCTCGCCCTGCGTCGCCTGTCCGTCTTGCTCGCACTAGTGGCCGTGGTTCGCGTCTGCGTCCTCCTCCTGTCCCTGGCACGCACCGGATGTCTCTGCGTCCGTCCACTGCTCCTCTGCTTGCCCCTTTGCCTTCTCCTCCTGAGTCCTCTCTTCCTGCTCTTCCCGACCCGGAGTCGGACTCTCTTCGTGCTGCCAGTCCTACTGTCACGCGTCTCCTTGCTACTGTCGTCACTGACCCTTCCTTTGAGTCCACTGCTGCGTCTGCCCTAGTTGCTGAGCTCGTCGACTTTGCTGCTCGCTGTCGTCTAGACTACGCTGCTAGTCTTGTCGTTGAGTCTGAGTCTGTCTGTCCTCCGTCCGTCGGGGGTGAGTGTGCCCTTGGCACGGACGTCCTTGAGGACAGACAGGAGGAGTTTCAGTGTTTGGCTGCTGCTTCACCTCATCTCGTGTCCGTACTGCTTACCCCTGAGGGAGACCCGGATGCACTTGACATCCCGACTCCGCGCTCTTACGCGGAGGCGATAGAGGGTCCCTACTCCTCTCAGTGGCAGGCAGCTATGGACACAGAGATGGCTTCCTGGAAGTCCACAGGCACCTACGTTGACGAGGTTCCCCCGCCTGGGGCGAACATCGTCAGTGGCATGTGGATTTTCAGGGTGAAGCGACCGCCGGGTTCTCCGCCTGTCTTCAAGGCGCGTTACGTGGCTCGTGGCTTCAGTCAGCGGCAGGGAGTTGACTACTTTCAGACCTTCTCTCCCACCCCGAAGATGACCACTCTTCGGGTACTGCTGCACATAGCTGCTCACCGCGACTACGAGCTGCACTCTCTTGACTTCAGCACTGCTTTCTTGCAGGGCAGCCTGCACGAGGAGATCTGGTTGCGTCGCCCACCTGGCTTCACTGGGTCTTTTCCTCCTGGCACCCAGTGGAGCCTCCGGCGGCCAGTCTACGGTCTCCGCCAGGCACCGCGTGAGTGGCACGACACACTGAGGACTACACTTGCGGCTCTTGGGTTTGCTCCCTCTACTGCCGACCCGTCGCTGTTTCTGCGCACCGACACTTCTTTGCCGCCGTTCTACATCCTCGTGTACGTCGACGACTTGGTCTTTGCCACAGCTGACACTGCTGGACTCGCCCACGTGAAGTCCGAGCTGCAGAAGAGACACACGTGCACAGACCTGGGTGAACTGCGCAGCTACCTTGGCTTGCAGATCACCCGGGACAGAGCACGCCGCACCATTACCCTGACTCAGTCACACATGGTGCAGCAGGTCCTTCAGCGCTTCGGCTTCACGTACTCCTCGCCTCAGGCCACTCCTCTGCCTACTCGCCACTCGCTCTCAGCTCTGCCTTCGGATGAGTCCGTAGAGTCGAGTGGCCCGTACCCAGAGCTTGTTGGCTGCCTCATGTACCTGATGACCTGCACACGACCTGACCTCGCATACCCCCTTAGCATTCTCGCACGCTATGTTGCTCCTGGGAGACACAGACCGGAGCACATGGCTGCAGCGAAGAGGGTGTTGCGTTACTTGTGCAGTACGTCGGGCATGGGGCTTGTGCTTGGAGGGCAGAGTCCAGTGGTCCTCACTGGGCACGCAGACGCTTCTTGGGCTGACGACCAGGCTACGCAGCGGACGTCACAGGGTTACACCTTCAGCCTTGGTTCCGGCTCTGTTTCGTGGCGGGCTACCCGCTCGTCTTCTGTTCTCGGCTCCAGTTGTGAGGCTGAGATCTACGCCGGGGCCATGGCTGCACAGGAGCTTCGCTGGCTCACCTACCTGCTGACTGACCTCGGAGAGCCGCCTCGTTCTCCTCCAGTGCTGTACGTAGACAACAAGGCCATGCTGGCCTTGTGTCGAGAGCAGAGACTGGAACACAGAACGAAGCACATTGCTCTCCGCTACTTCCTTGCTCGTGAGCTACAGCAGCGTGGTCAGCTGCGGCTTGCGTACGTGGCCTCTCAGGCCAACACTGCTGATATCTTCACCAAGGCACTTGCGCCTTGTGATCATCAGCGCTTCTGTACTCAGCTGGGTCTTGTGCCTACCTTGCCTCACTTGCTCACCCCTTGACCTTGTTTGCACTGATGCATATATATATATATACACCTGCTCTTGCCTGTCTAGCCTTATATATATATGTAATCCTGCATGTGAACTGGCCTTGTGGCCTTGAACTTGTGCTCGGAATGTGTGGTGACTTTGTGATCCACCCTGAGCTTGCTTTGCTTTGCTTGACTGGTCTTGTGACCCCTTGTTCTCCCCCACTTTGCCTATGGGGGTGTGTCAGATTTATATGACATAGCTACTGTAGGCTATAGTGGGGTAGCCCATATGGGGTACAGTTTTCTAGGGTTCACATTTGTACCCAACTTTCCCTTAGTCAATTCATTCCTCGTTTCTTCTCACCAACACCCAACTCCCGTTGACATGAGCGACTGACACGAGCACGACGCAGCTACCTGACCTGACCCTGCAACTTGAGGGGGACTCAGTTTGACCTGACGCGGGCTCCCGAGAGAACGTGGCAAGGGTCACTCAGTAGTAACGTCTACAGACGGTGACGTCTGCGCAAATCGCTCGTGCGCAAGAAAGGTGACGGTAACGCCGAGGTCCTGAAGACGACCGACACTCACCAAGTTCCTAGAGAACGAAGGGAGTTGCAAACCTGAGAGGGGACCTAAAGGGAATGTAAGACATGGGAGTGTAGTGGCGCTGCCTACGAAAACTGGTCCCAAGGAGGGATCAGCCAAAGCGACTGCGAATGGAGCCGGAAGCGGAAAGTGGGTGGTGCTGTCGCGGAAGAAGCACAACTACAGATCCTAGCCTAGGCACACACGAATAAAAAGATCTAGCAGCACTAGAGTCATCATGAGACACGACAGGGACAGAATACAAAGCAACATGCACATCAATCATATCCATAGTAATCACTTGGTGGCCTCGGCGGAGCAGTAAAACCCAGTCCTCAACCGGATCATCTCGGACTTCATCGCGAAGATGTCACACCAATAGCTTCTGGAGTTGGCACACCTGAAACAACACAAGCAGCAGCGGAGATTATGAGTACAAGTGGGGAAGCAGAACAGATATAGCAACAGATACAGCATCCGTCTTTACCGTCAACATCATCACACTCAACCGGTCCTCTTGTCATCGGTTCTTCTGCTACTCGACGCGGTACGATCAACGACGAGTCACATCGAAGTCCAGCAAACTTTGTCGCCTTCTACGCCAACTCCGACTTGTATCGTCGATCTGCGGGATATGCAACTTCAGAGAAAATTTGGCACAAGCGGTTAGGACATCCAGGCGGAAACACAACTTACGACACGATTCGCACGGGAGTTCTTGACAAAGACGCTCTTCTTCTTCTCGTTGGAAAGGAGTTGCGCCAGCCTCGACACATCTGCACGATGTGTCCTGAAGCTGATCTGCCTCGACAACTGTTTCCTTCTCATCACAACCCGAATGTTCCTGCATACAAGTCACTGGAAAACATTTACAGCGATATTCTTGTGATACCACGGCAAGAAGGACGAGCAGATTTGAATTATGTCATTACCTTCATCGACGCTGCAACGCGTTACGTCTGGCACGCGCTTATTCTATCTCGCGATCTTGCTTATAAAGCATTCGTGGCGTGGCTACCTGCAGCTGAACGGGAGAGCGATCTGAAACTGAAGAGTTTTCAGACTGATGGTTCTCTTGAGTACCTCTCGCAGCGTTTCATGATCTACCTTGCGGAAAGGGGAATCAAGAAACTGCAGTCGCAGCCTTATCAGCATCAACAGCAAGGCATGGCAGAATGGATGAACAGGACTTTGCAGACCACCATGCGCAAGCTGCACATGGAAGCACGCCTGCCAGCAGGGCAGTGGCCGTTTGCAATGGACCACGCCGTTTTTCTCCACAACCTTCTGTCTTCCTCGTCCCTGCCAAACGATTCCTCACCGCACAAAGAGTGGACAGGGAAGCTGGGCAGCACAAAAATGTTACGGGTCTTTGGGTGCATGGTACAGTACCGGCCTCCAAACACACGTGCGGGACGGTTTTCACAAAGGGCACGATGGGGGATACGCTTCGGCATCGAGAAAACAATTTGCAGCATGGAAAATCTGGGATGTCGAAGATCAAGTTACAGCTTTGGCACGTGACGTACTCTTCTACGAAAGACTCACGTACCCCACTTGGCAACGGCAGCATGCCAACCGCGAAGATTTGACAGCTGGGTTTTCTGGTACACGTACCTTCGCTACGGAAGCCGACGAAGCTGACGCGGTGGAGGAAGCTGTTGCCTGTAGCATTTATCAAGGTGTTGATTGCGATAGGGTAGAATGCGCTATGTACACAAAATGGTGTGTTTCACAGGTCCTAAGTAAGCTTTGACATTACCATACTCCAAAAAAACCGAGTAGAGGAAAATAAATTCATTATTCATACAGACGCCTGCGCGTCGTCTGTAGCATTTATCAAGGTGTTGATTGCGATAGGGTAGAATGCGCTATGTACACAAAATGGTGTGTTTCACAGGTCCTAAGTAAGCTTTGACATTACCATACTCCAAAAAAACCGAGTAGAGGAAAATAAATTCATTATTCATACAGACGCGTGCTCACTTACATACCGTATATACGTCAGGGTGATGTGCACACACCATATGCAAGCAACCTTTTGCGTGCCCACACAGAAGGTATGGTAAGGTATTGCATATTATTTGGCTAAATCATGGATCCCAGAGAAAAAGTGTCACTTGTGAGCATTCAGGTCATCACATTTCGGCCCCGTCTCAATCTTATCGATTCGAGCTCGAAGCCGCCCAGCCAGCTCATCATTCGGCCCACCGCTCTCTATCCTGCTCGACCGCGTCGAACCCATTGCACTGCCGCCCCCATCCACAGCCGGCTTCCCACTGTTACCCTTGAAAACAGCTCCAGACCCTGACCCAGCAGCACCACCACTCCGTGCTTCCCTCGCCACTTGCGCCCTCGGGCTGATAACACCACACGCTCCTCTCGCACCTCCATTCTGGCTCACCCCACCCGGAGACAGCAGCGGCGCCCCATCCACCGCGGCACCGTGTATGGCGCCAGCGGCCGAGGGAAACGACTCGATGCGGTCCAGTCTCGCCTGCAGCACGCCTGTGAGCTCCGCATCTGGTCCATCTTCTCTCAACTCCAGCGCAGCTGCTGCCGCTGCTCGGTCGCCGCAGGCAGCGGCGGCGGGGAGGGTCATGCGGTGCAGCACGGCGAAGTCGAGCGCCTCCCACACCTCGTCCACCACGCCCTCCGTGCCCGACGCTGCCGCTCGCTGCGCTGCTATGCGCCGCGCGTTCAGCTGTGCCTCGTTTGTGAGTAGCTGCTGCACTGCTGTCTGTAACTCTTGCTCGTCCGCCACCTGGTGGGAGGGAATGCAATCCCCACACATTAAAAAGACAGGCATATTCTGTTTCTTCTGAAAGGCCTCACCATCAATTCTTGCCTAATCTCCCTGCCTATCTTTGCCCAAGACGACTCTAGTCCCTTTTATCTTCTCTCTTCTTCCCATGTGTACAGTTGTCTTCCCATGTGTACAGTTGTCTTCCCATGTGTACAGTTGTCTTCCCATCCCATCCCATGCCTTCGCAATACCATATGGACACACAGAGCGGGAGGCATACCTGCCACACAGAGAGGGGCGCAACTTGCTGCAGCTGCTGCAGCACAGAGGTAAAGTGACCCAGGTGGGGACCTGAGGACAATGTGGGGTAAGGGAGAGAGGGGGATGGCATCCATGCAGTCAAACTGGACTGCGGTACAGCAGAGGAAGCGGAGCTGGGAGGCGCTGACACGTGTATTCAGATGTGGAATTCAATGGGAGGGATAACGTGAAGCAGTGGAAGTAGACACGCAACAAGCAGCAGTGGTTACACGGCATCATATAATACAGTTTGGTACTGCACTATTGAAAAAAAGAAGCACACCATGCTCCAGTGAAATGACATGGTACAACATTAAGGCTACCATCGCACAACATAACAACTCCCATCATCCAAATTCAGGTGTAGTGGAAGAACCCACCAGTGAGGACGGCACAGGAGGAGACAGCAGGCTCAGCAATGTTGTGGCCGCCCAGACCGGGCAGCAGCGAGCCCCCCACGAAGGCGAGCGGGATGATGGAGTAGAGCAGCGTCAACTCGCCTGCTCACGTCACATGCACGAGAGTATGGGGTGTTGAGAGCCAAGAGACTCCATGCCGGACTGCTTTTCATGCTGAGAATGGGCGACGCTTCAAAAGTTGTGCCGTGGGACCAGCCGCACACCCCATTGCATCAGCAAACAGCAACGGCATCAGCACACAGCCCAATGGTATCCCCACGTACCAATGGTATCAGCAATATAGAAGTCCGTGTCGGGCGTCACTGCGTGCCCCTGGGAGTGCACAGCCACTCTCACCGGCTTGGCCCGCGCCTCTTCCGCTGTCATCCCTGGCTGCAACGGTGGCGGGTGGTGCAACTGCGATGCCAGAAACTGGGGCAAGTGCGAGAGGTGGGATGGAGGGAGTGGAACGGGGGTGGGTGGTGCTTTTGGGAGGTCTGGGGCTACAGCACCGGCTTTAGTGGTGGTGGGGGGTGCTGCTGCGATGCCAGGAACTGGAAGGAAGAGGAGGGGCGGAAGGAGGAGTGCAACAGGGGGGGGGGTGATTCTTTTGAAAGGACTGGGCGCGCCACAGACTTGCGCCGCGCGGGAGTTGGGAGAAGGAGAGAGCTGGCAGGCGGGATGTGGAGAGGAGACTGGGCGCAACGAGGAGGTGAGAGGGTGGGAAGAAAATAAAAAGCAACAGGGAGAGGGCGGAGGGTGCAAAAGGGAAGGGGGGAGAAGGGGTGTTCAAAGGAGGGCAAGAAGATGGGCAGATAAGCTGCTAGCTTCATGAAGACTATCAATGGCGCCCCTACCACGAGGCGCGCCTACAGATTGCCTCGGAGGAGGGCAGAAAGACGGGCAGCCTGATGCTGCTTACCGGCGGGCTGCCTGTGAATCATGAATGGCCCCTCCTCACCTTGCCAATTGCCCCTCCTCACCTTGCCAATTGCCCCTCCTCACCTTGCCAATGGCCCCCCTCCTCACCTTGCCAATGGCCGCCCCTCTGCTTGGGTCGCGCGGCACGATGACGGTGAGCAGCCCCGCCACTCGGTGCTTCAGATTGCGATGCACGCGCAGGATGGCTGGGGGGGAAAGGGGGGGGGAGGGGGTAGACGGGGTGGGTCCGTGTGAGGCATGTGGGCAGGCAGAGGTTATGATTATGAGCAGCCCCGCCACCTGCAGGACGGCTGGGGGGGAAGGGGGTGGGGGGGGGTGGGACAGTAGCCATGTGGGGAAATGGAGCTGATGGGGGGGGGAAGGGGAAGAGCAGGGAGATCTTTTGTGGATGGAAAAAGCTGATTCACGAGTGGGGAAAGGGGGACGGGTGTGTGGGGTAAGGGAGGGAGATCTCAGGACAATAGGAGGATAATCTACAGGGCACCCAGTAAAGCTTGCACGCGTTCGCCCCATGAATCCATGTCTCTCTGCACGCGCGTTAATCCACCGCATGCTGACGTTTGAGATGTCTCAAAGCCGCCTGCCTCATGTGTGCTGCCCGCCAGCCACACCCGCCGCCCTCTCACTTTTGAGACGTCACAAAAGCCTCCCGCTCTCCGTTGGCCTCGTGTGCTGTTAGAGTCACAGATTCATCCCATCCAGGTCTTTCTACACACACGTCCATCCCCCACGTCTCACCTTCCTCCTCGCCCGCATGTGTGCTGGCAGCCAGCCACACCCGCCGCCCTCGCACCACACGCCTCACTTCCTCCTCCTTCCCTCCCCTCGCCCTCGCCCCCCCTCTCGCCCCCCCACTCTCCGCCTCCCCCTCCCTGCTGCTCCTGCTGCTGCTGTGACTGCTCATGGTCGCTGCAAGAGATGGAGAGCGGTTTAGCACGGTTCAAAGGCGAGAATGTTAGAGCTTAGGTTCATCAGAAGGGGGCAATGCAGTGCAATAGGTGCTGCTGTGCTAGCAGGAATGGCTCGGCTGCTGCTACTGGCAGAGGGGGCATGGAATGGAAAGGAGAGAGCTGTTTCACATGAAGAGGGTGCTTTGAGTCCAGGAAAGAGTAACCATGGGTGCCACATGAAGGGGAAGAGCAAGCGCACGTTGATGGAATGCATAACGCCTTTTGAGGCGCCTCAAAAGTGATGGAATGCATAACGCCTTTTGAGGCGCCTCAAAAGTGATGGAATGCATAACGCTGGGCGAACAAAGGAGAGGATGGAGAATGACAAGTGTGGGAGCTAGCGGCACGTAACCCCACCACCATATTCCTGTGCTGTGCACGCACGCTGCCATTCAACAACACCTCACACAACCACTCCTGCAAACACCCACACCCGGCAAGACCAGCAGCAGCAGCATTGCAGCATGGCAGCAGCACGGCAGCAGCATGGCACGTACCGAACTTGAGGTTGCCAGTGTAGCGTGTGAGCATGGGGTTGGCGCCCAGGCGCTGATATCGTAGCCCCTGCTCCGTGCTCTGCGCTCCATGGGGGGAAGGATGGTGTGGGGGAGAGAGATGAACTGCGGGAGGGAGTACGTCACAGGAGTGAAGGAGAGAGAACATTAGATGTGAGACAGAGATGGGTTGGGAGGGAGACAGGGGGACATGAGGCGACAAGGCATGCATATGAACAAGGAATACGAGCGAGTGATGTGCGTGCAAGTGGAACGCCTGAGAGGCACACATCGTTTGCACAACGCACGTGAGGGGGCACTTATATCAATGCGTGGGCACCTCAAAGGTCGCACGTGACGTGAGGGCGCATTTGTATCACTTCCCAAGGGCCACACGCATCCGGTTACAGGTGCGTACAGTGGTGGTGATGAGGGCGAAGCGACCAATCATGGCGGAGACGAGAGGGAGGAAGAGCCCATCCATGGCGTGCCACCTGTCAAACGTTGATTGGGTCATGCGCCCATTGAGCAGCGCAATGGGCACCTGCATGGTATGGCGGGGAGGCGAGGGCACGCACGGACAGAATAGCTGATAACGTCGAACCTCGGTGCGACTTGTGCAGCAGCTGCTGCTGCTGCGCTCGATTGATGCACCTACTTCAATCAGCAGCTGGTGGAGGAGCCACATACTTTGAGCAGGTGTGGCGAGAGCAGGAGGTTGGGCCAGAGCTCCTGCTCCATGAACACCGCCGCGTTGGGCTGCCAGTGCAAGAGGAAGCGCTCCACCGCTGCTGGCGCATCCACTGGCGCTAGCTGCAGGCGGGGCAGAGCAGAGCAGGGGCGAGGGGGAGGGGCGAGAAATGGAGTGGGATGCGAGGCAGAAGGAGGTGAGTGTGACTGGTGCTGCAGCGGTCATGCATAACACGTGTCTTTCTGATCTTCTGCACGCCTGGCATGTCACACCTGTGGCATGTGGCTGACGAGGCTTATGGCACACGTGGCATGTGAACCATCTGACATCTGGCAGACGTGGCATGAGGACACACCTGGCATATGACATGCGTCTTGGAAAAGGCTTTGGAGACAACCGACCTGCCATGGGGCGAAAGGGGGAGGGACGCAGGGGAGGGGCAGAGGGGAGACACGCAGAGGGGAGGGGCGCAGGGGAGGGCGTGGGGGAGGGGCGCGGGGAAGGAGCGTATGGGAGGGGCGCAGGGGGAAGGGGACGTACGGGAGCGGCGCGGGGAAGGGGCGGCAAAATATTAAAGGTAGTTGCAGGAGTGGGGAAGGAGCAAGAGTGTGAGAGGGAAGACACAAGGGAGCGGTCCTAGGGGGAAACGAGGCAACGCGTTTGAGTGGACGCAGGATGATGCGACAGTGAAGACCCAGCCAGATGGGTGGACGCGGGAGGAAACGAGCAAGCGAGATGCAGAGGCCGGTGGGGAAGAGAGAGGAGGAAGGAGGGAAAGGGAGAGGCGGGACGAGGGGAAGGGGTTGTGGGGGAATGAGTGGTCGAGGGGGAGGGGAGGGCGAGCAGGCGCGTACAGCGCGAGGGCGTTGCGGGTGGTGAAGAGCACTTTGAGGCGCGGCCGCTGCTGCATGCACTTGCGCACCAGCGGAATCGCGATCGCGCTCTCGCCTGTTGGGGGGGGTCAACGCGCAGAGCACGACGCGAACGGGGCATGACGAGCGGGGCAAAACGGGCGGGCAGGAGGAGGAGAGGAGGGTGAGGTGCAGGAGAGCACTGTGAAAGGGGCGAGCAACGACGAAGGAGTCCGGCGAGAAGGGGAGTGCGAATGCGTCGCGTCGCGTAAGCTCTGAAATAGCGGTCAAATGGGTGTGCTTAGGTCGGGACTGACGAGGCACGCTCGAGAGCCTACCCACAGAAACAGCATGGAACCACAACAGAGGCCCATCCGGTCGCTTCGCCGAAGGTACGCCCAATTGTTCCCGCCATCTCCTCCCCGCGCCGTCCAATCCCAGAAACGCGCGCTGCCACAGGCCCATCGTCACCAATGGCGACGCGACGCCTGTGGCTACTTTGTACGCGCCTTGAATTGCGGCGCCTACTGCGGCGTCCGCCATTGCGGGAGTGACGCGTGCAGGCGGCGCGAAGAGGCGAATCTGTAATCGCGCGCTACTGCAGGCGAACGGGACGGCGAGAACGGTGAGGGCCGCGAATGAGGGCTGTCAGGGTAATCCCGATAGTGGCGGTTGCCGTGGTGGTGGCGGGAACCAAACCACGGGGATGGTCTGACTGTGGAGAGGAGCAAAAATCAAGCCTAGAGTCCACTGTGGACAAAACCGATAATTAGTAGCATGTGGGAATCATTTCCTTTTGCTGTTTGGTGTATACACTCTGATACAGATCCTGCTTGAACTTACCGTAATGCATTGTTTGGGGGATAACTGTGGTGCCTTGCAGCAGAAACATTTCCTAAACGGGGGTTGATGGAAATAACGATTCTATTATACAAAGAGAGTATAACTCGGGCATGTAGTGATGATTCGTCCTGTGGCCGTACCACCAGCTTCAAACAAGTTATGCTGAGGCTACTCAATAATGGCGATTCTTCTTGTGGCTGTGGAACCAGCAACACCATGGCTGTACTGTACTGAGCATCAAAGCCCAGCACAGCACCGCTCCGCTGTGCCTTGCTTATGCACTGCCAATGAGCACTGCTCAATGCACTCCCTGCACCCCACCCCTGTACAAGTTGATCCTGCCATGCCTGCTGTGGTCACATGGGAAGGGATCGCTGGCACATGGATGTGAGGCATGCCTGATGAGTCAACCACGCATGCCTGATGAGTCAACCACGCATGCCAGTAACGACAAGAACATGTGGGCTCATGTGGAATGGAGGTACACCCTAACAACCATGACAATCGCAGTGAACCAAGGGCACCAATGGCAACCGCAGGCAACCAAAGGCAACCAAGGGCAATTTCAGGCAATCAAAACTCTCCATGCCATACTGACAATCGCACCTCCCTTTCTACCCCACACCCAGCACCTCTCTCATCCCACCCTGAAATACGAATCCACCGACAATCCTGCCAAGCCTTGTCGCACCAGACTCGCCACGACCCCCCTGCGCCTCCCATGCCCACTGCGCCTCCCATGCCCCCTGCGCCTCCCATGCCCACTGCGCCTCCCATGCCCCCTGCGCCTCCCATGCCCCCTTCGCCTCCCATGCCCCCTTCGCCTCCCATGCCCCCTGCGCCTCCCATGCCCACTGCGCCTCCCATGCCCACTGCGCCTCCCATGCCCACTGCGCCTCCCATGCCCACTGCGCCTCCCATGCCCCCTGCGCCTCCCATGCCCACTGCGCCTCCCATGCCCACTGCGCCTCCCATGCCCACTGCGCCTCCCATGCCCACTGCGCCTCCCATGCCCCCTGCGCCTCCCATGCCCACTGCGCCTCCCATGCCCACTGCGCCTCCCATGCCCACTGCGCCTCCCATGCCCACTGCGCCTCCCATGCCCCCTGCGCCTCCCATGCCCACTGCGCCTCCCATGCCCCCTGCGCCTCCCATGCCCACGGTGCCTCCCATGCCCACCGCGCCTCCCATGCCCACTGCGCCTCCCATGCCCACTGCGCCTCCCATGCCCCCTGCGCCTCCCATGCCCACCGCGCCTCCCATGCCCACCGCGCCTCCCATGCCCACTGCGCCTCCCATGCCCACTGCGCCTCCCATGCCCACTGCGCCTCCCATGCCCCCTGCGCCTCCCATGCCCACTGCGCCTCCCATGCCCACTGCGCCTCCCATGCCCCCTGCGCCTCCCATGCCCCCTTCGCCTCCCATGCCCCCTGCGCCTCCCATGCCCACTGCGCCTCCCATGCCCACTGCGCCTCCCATGCCCACTGCGCCTCCCATGCCCACTGCGCCTCCCATGCCCACTGCGCCTCCCATGCCCCCTGCGCCTCCCATGCCCCCTGCGCCTCCCATGCCCACTGCGCCTCCCATGCCCACTGCGCCTCCCATGCCCACTGCGCCTCCCATGCCCACTGCGCCTCCCATGCCCACTGCGCCTCCCATGCCACCTGCGCCTCCCATGCCCACTGCGCCTCCCATGCCCACTGCGCCTCCCATGCCCACTGCGCCTCCCATGCCCACTGCGCCTCCCATGCCCACTGCGCCTCCCATGCCCCCTGCGCCTCCCATGCCCACTGCGCCTCCCATGCCCACTGCGCCTCCCATGCCCCCTGCGCCTCCCATGCCCACTGCGCCTCCCATGCCCACTGCGCCTCCCATGCCCACTGCGCCTCCCATGCCCCCTGCGCCTCCCATGCCCACTGCGCCTCCCATGCCCCCTGCGCCTCCCATGCCCCCTGCACCTCCCATGCCCCCTTCGCCTCCCATGCCCCCTGCGCCTCCCATGCCCCCTGCGCCTCCCATGTCACCTGCACCTTCCCCGTGCATACTGATGCACGTGTGACTGAACTCGGAGGCCTCACTGCGCGCGCCTGAGGCGTCATGCCATGGAAAACTCGCTGCAGTCCCCCTGGGCCCCACACGTCAACCCCCATACCCCCCCCCCCCCCCCCCCTCGCTCCCCCCTCCCCCCCTTCTTCCCCCCCTCTCTGCAGGCGACTGACCTGAGGAGGCGTCATTCCGCGCCCCTGAGAGGCGGCGGCGGTGGTGTCATGTCATGAAGGACTCGCCGCAGCCGCACTCCCCCTTGGAGTTGGGGTTCACGAACACAAACTCCGACCTGCATGCCCCCCCGCCCACCCCGTGCATGCCATTCGCACAACGGTCGGTAGAACGTAGGAAAAGGGCTCGGTTCGGGGCAACGAGTGATCTCGGAAATCACAGCAGCAGGTGGTAGCTAAGAGAGGGCGCTGAGCAGCAGGGCACAAATGTGAAGAACGATGATGAGAGGTGCAGTTGAACAGAGAGAGGGGGAATGGGAAGGGAAAGGTGGGGAAGGAAAAACGTGGCGAGAGGAGGGGAGGGGGAGGGGAAAGAGAGGAAACAGAGGAATTCGGAAGGGGAGAGAGAAAGGAGGGGTGCAAACAGCAGCATGGGCTTGAAACGCACTTGAGACGATCCTGTACGAAGTCGACGGTGGTGCCGATGATGGCCATGAGCGCCTTGGGCTCCACCACCACTCGCACGCCCTTCTCCTCCACCACCACTCGCACGCCCTTCTCCTCCACCACCTCGTCGAACCTTCCCGGCTCGTCTGCTCCGCGCCGCGCACACACACGGCAACGGGCAGAAAGCGAGTGAAGCCGACCATGGGACACGGAGAATGGGAGATTGAGGCATGACGAGCGGACTGGCCTCTGAAACGGAATGACGATCTGGTGTGTGCATTTACGCATCATAAGCGGCACGAACGGAACGACGTACAGAGAGGAACATACGAGCGTCTTTAATTGCTCTACTAAGCTAAAGGCACGACACCGCAAGTGAACCCTAACGCGCTTGCCCTGAATCCGACGAAAAGCCATGTCCTTGAGTGTGCGAGCGCGCGGCGCGTACCGGCGTAGGAGAGGGTGTAGCTCATGCCGCTGCAGCCGCGCGACTTGACGCCCAGCTTGAGATACTCCTTGCTGCGCCGCGGTCATGACACGAGGACGACTGCGCTGTGGTGGAGGGACCTGGTTGCGTGACCGACACGGAAAAGCGTGCCAGTGAACGGGTAGCAGCTTCTTTCTAAGGGCGACGGTTGTAGTAGAAAGGCCAGCCGACAACACGAGCCTTGAGATATGATGTCAGTGGTTTCGAAATCAAATTAGGAGGCACTCGAGCACCTGGTGTTCAGTTGGTCAGGACTCAGGGCCCAGCAGTCAGCAGCGGCTGGAGTATCGAGGCTGGAAACTATCGAGGCTGGAAACTATCGAGGCTGCAGATGGCGCAGGATTCATGAACCATCCTTCCTCGACTCAAGACTAAACAGACAGTCAGGGCGCGTCCCGTTCTTGATCGAACCTGAGCAGGTTCGTTTTTTGGCTTGGTTGTAAATGTAAATGCGGAATTTAAGTGTGGTAGAGGATCGAACCTCGATTTTGCACGATCGATCGAGGGCGGGGACACACCCTGATGTTCAACATGGAGGTTCCAATTGAAGCAAAAGAACCAAGATTTCACTCCAGAGATCAAGAATACAACTTCGAGGGAGCACATTTGCAGCAGCATTTATAGTTTTCCAAATAGGCGGAAAATGTTTGACATTTAGGTCACTTCTTTTTTTATTTTGTCAGGTCTTCTTTTCTGATTTTGTTTTCAAAACTTCATCAATAATTATGATGAATAATAATAAAAAAAAAACAAACAAACAAACAAAACCGGCCAGATTGGTTGAAATAGGTTGCTCCGCAACCTCCCCACTCCCCCCCCTCTCATAAGCTCTGCCTTTGTTAGATGGTGGTCGAGCAGCGGAGTCCAACGAGAGCTAGATGGTGGGCGAGCGGCGGACTCGTTCGAGGGAGCTCTGCACTTTGATGAGGGCGAGCTTGTCCTTGCCGATGCTGCTGCTCTTGATGTGGTCCGGCACGCTGTGGCGGTGCATCATCGTCACAAACTCGTTGTAGTCTATGCACTCGTCCTGTTGGTGGGGAAAGGTGCATGCGCATGGGGAGACATGGTGGTGCGGTGGGGTGAGAGAAGATGTTGTGGCGGTGCATCATGGTCACAAACTCGTTGAAGTCTATGCACTTGTCTTGCATGAGGAGCCCCAGTGCATGGGCGAGTAGGGTAGGGCATGGGCAGGTGTGGGCGGGTGTGGGAGGGCATGGGAAAGAAAGAAAGAAAGAAAGAAAGAAAGAAAGAAAGAAAGAAAGAAAGAAAGAAAGAAAGAAAGAAAGAAAGAAATAAATAAATCATTCCATTATTCATACAAGGGCATGTCGTGAGAGACGATTCACCTCCTGCATCACCTCATCCACATTCAGTGACAGCTCATCTTGCTGTACTCACTACCTTGCTAGCATCCCATCTCCTTCACCTTGTTAACGTCCACCTCACCTTGTTAACGTCCACCTCCTGCATCATCTCCTCCACGTTCTCCGGTCCGATGCCAAACTCCTCACACACCTGCCATGCACACCCATGCACACCCATGCACACCAAGAAGAGAAGTTATGAAACGAGGAGGCTACTGGTGTCCCAACAGAGGGGCCATGTTCTCTCACATTCTCCGGCCCCATGCCAAACTCCTCACACACCTGCCGTGCACGCACACAGGCAGGCAGGCAGGCAGTGGGGGGGCAGGGGGGCAAATGACACATGATTGACTCTCCTCTCCATTCATGTTCCTCCGCGCCACCTCTTTGAGCTTGCCTCAAGGATCATCCAGCTGCTGCCCCTGCCAAAGCAGTGCAACTGATGCCCGTTCCCTCGCTTGACTGTCACGGCGCACACCCAATGCCACTAGCAAATACTAGGCACACCCTAAACCCTGAGTCAGCTTGTACCTGGGGTGATAAACCAGCTGCCATCCTTGGTCAAAATACTGAAACGCCTGATGCAGATTCTCCTGCTTGACTTGACCCTCCCAAGGAAATATCATTCGCCCTTCCAAGGCACCACCAAACGCACACGAGTGAGCTCGTCCGGGATGATAAAACCGCTGCCATCCACGTCGAATGACTGCAACGACTGGTGCAGGCTCTCCTCTTTAATCATGCAGTTGAGCCCCAGCCCAGCGTGGCCGCAAAGAACCCATTCGCATACCCCTTTACATACACACCAACTCATTCACCCACCTGAGTGAGCTCGTCCCTGGGCCTGGTGAGGTAATGAACCCGCTGTCATCCTGGGTTCAAGTACTGCAAGGCCTGCTGAAGGATCTCCTCCGTCATCCTTCCAAGGGGATATAACCACCATTCAACGCACCTGAGTGAGCTCGTCTCTTGTGATGAACCCGCTGCCATCCTTATCAAAGTACTGGAACGCCTGGTGCAGGTTCTCCTCCTTGATCATGCGGTTGAGCCCCAGCGTGGCGGCAAAGAACTCGTTCATGTCGATGCTCTCACTGTCGTTCACGTCCATCTGCGGAGGGGTGTAGAAAGAGGGGGGCAAAAAGGGCAAGATGGGGAGCAGATGAAGAGGGAGTGAGTGGAAGGTCCAGCGAGCTGACTTTTGAGTCGACTCAAAAGGCAGATGAAGAGGGAGTGAGTGGAAGGCCCAGCGTGGGCGCAAAGAAGAAATCGTTCATGTGGATGCTCTCACCGCTGTTGACGTCCATCCGCGGGGAGTGTGTTGGAGGGGGAAGGGAGGGGCGTAAGGAAGAAAGGGGAGAGGGAGTGAGCGGAAACCCCAGTGTGGCCACAAAGAAGAAATCGTTCATAAGGAAGAAAGCGGAGTAGAGCTGGCGCAGCTCCCCCTCGTTCATGCACGCGCCCATCCTCTGCAGCCTACGGCGCATCTCATCAAGGGAGAGCGAGGCGAGTATAGTAGAAAGCCATCCATTACTATAATATAAACCGACTCACAGCGGAGTAGAGCTGGCGCAGCTCGCCCTCGTTCATGCGCGCGCCCATCTTCTGCAGCCCGCGGCGCATCTCATCGAGGGAGAGCGAGCCGCTGTGGTCCATGTCGAGCTGGTTGAAGATCTCCCTCATGCCCAGAATCTCCTCCTCCGTCAACTGCTGTGCCACCACCTGGTGGGCGAGGCAGGTGGGGTGGGGCAATGTGGGGCATGGCACTGAGAGCAGCCTGCTTGCATGCATGCATGGCACTGAGAGCATGCCTGCTTGCATGCATGCATGGCACTGCTGTGGTCCATGTCGAAATGGTTGAAGATCCCCCGCATGCCCAGGATCTCCTCCGTCAACTGCTGTGCCACCACCTGGCGTGAGCAGTATGGAATGGAGTAGGGTATGATGGGGTAGGGTATGATGGGGTAGGGTATGATGGAGTAGGGTATGATGGGGTAGGGTATGATGGAGTAGGGTATGATGGGGTAGGGTATGATGGGGTAGGGTATGATGGGGTAGGGTATGATGGGGTAGGGTATGATGGGGTAGGGTACGATGGGGTAGGGTATGATGGGGTAGGGTATGATGGGGTAGGGTATGATGGGGTAGGGTATGATGGGGTAGGGTATGATGGGGTAGGGTATGATGGGGTAGGGTATGATGGAGTAGGGTATGATGGAGTAGGGTATGATGGAGTAGGGTATGATGGAGTAGGGTATGATGGAGTAGGGTATGATGGAGTAGGGTATGATGGAGTAGGGTATGATGGAGTAGGGTATGATGGAGTAGGGTATGATGGAGTAGGGTATGATGGAGTAGGGTATGATGGAGTAGGTATGATGGAGTAGGGTATGATGGAGTAGGGTATGATGGAGTAGGGTATGATGGAGTAGGGTATGATGGAGTAGGGTATGATGGAGTAGGGTATGATGGAGTAGGGTATGATGGAGTAGGGTATGATGGAGTAGGGTATGATGGAGTAGGGTATGATGGAGTAGGGTATGATGGAGTAGGGTATGATGGAGTAGGGTATGATGGAGTAGGGTATGATGGAGTAGGGTATGATGGAGTAGGGTATGATGGAGTAGGGTATGATGGAGTAGGGTATGATGGAGTAGGGTATGATGGAGTAGGGTACGATGGAGTAGGGTATGATGGAGTAGGGTATGATGGAGTAGGGTATGATGGAGTAGGGTATGATGGAGTAGGGTATGATGGAGTAGGGTATGATGGAGTAGGGTATGATGGAGTAGGGTATGATGGAGTAGGGTATGATGGAGTAGGGTATGATGGAGTAGGGTATGATGGAGTAGGGTATGATGGAGTAGGGTATGATGGAGTAGGGTATGATGGAGTAGGGTATGATGGAGTAGGGTATGATGGAGTAGGGTATGATGGAGTAGGGTATGATGGAGTAGGGTATGATGGAGTAGGGTATGATGGAGTAGGGTATGATGGAGTAGGGTATGATGGAGTAGGGTATGATGGAGTAGGGTATGATGGAGTAGGGTATGATGGAGTAGGGTATGATGGAGTAGGGTATGATGGAGTAGGGTATGATGGAGTAGGTATGAGTAGGTATGATGGAGTAGGGTATGATGGAGTAGGGTATGATGGAAGTAGGGTATGATGGAGTAGGGTATGATGGAGTAGGGTATGATGGAGTAGGGTATGATGGAGTAGGGTATGATGGAGTAGGGTATGATGGAGTAGGGTATGATGGAGTAGGGTATGATGGAGTAGGGTATGATGGAGTAGGGTATGATGGAGTAGGGTATGATGGAGTAGGGTATGATGGAGTAGGGTATGATGGAGTAGGGTATGATGGAGTAGGGTATGATGGAGTAGGGTATGATGGAGTAGGGTATGATGGAGTAGGGTATGATGGAGTAGGGTATGATGGA